GGAGGAGGAGGAGGAGGAGGAGGAGGAGGAGGAGGAGGAGGAGGAGGAGGAGGAGCAAGACGAGGAGGGCTAGTTTTCCACCCTGGGACGTTTTTGACGGTCCCGGGGCCCGAGAGGCCGGGCCTCTCGGAGGCCCCACAAGCAGCGAAACGCCGGCCGCTCGGGTCTTTCCTCCGAGCCGCCTTCCAGAGACTGCCTCCCCCTTGCCAGGGTCGCTTCGATCCGACCGGTCCGATTCGACATCGATTCCGGCTGTCTCTCGCAGGAGGGCCCGTCGGTTGAGACAGTGGTAGTTGGCCTTCGATGGGCCCCCTTGTTTGTCGCCAGAGCCAGACGTAGCTCGGAAAACCGGTGCGCTTGAACCCCCTGGGAAGGGTTCCAGGGACCGATTTTGAGCTGCCGTTGTCTCAGCTTGTCTTGCTCCGAGTCGACTCCGGCATTCCGACGGTCCCGTTCGGCCCGATGCTTGCATGGCGCTGTTGCGCATCCTGGCGCGGCCGATCCGATTCTATCCCGATTCGATGCACACTCCCATCCGACCCAATTTCCCGATTCGATGCTGACTCGTTTTGCCCTCGGACGAGCGAGCTCCGCTCCATCTCCCTCCTCCCCAGGCAAGCCATGGACCAGGACCAATCGCTCCAGGGAGTTGCGGCGCGCTCTCGGGGCGGTCTGGAAGGGCTCTGGACCCGCCCGCTCTCATCACCAGCGGCGACCGTATCCATGTCCACGCCCTCGCGGTCTGCATTCCGGGACCCGATCCCGTGGATGCGCGGTCGCACGGACAGGTACGTTCCGCCCGGAGATTCCGCGCCAAAGTGCCCCGTGTCCATGTGGCCGCGGCCCAGGGACCTGGCCCGCGAGGCCGTGTGAGTGCGGGCACGTTTTCTGCCCACGATCTCGGGCATTCCCGATTCATCACCATCCGAGTGTGTGTCCTCGTCCTGCTTTCGTCTGACTTCTTTCCCGGGGCGCTCTTCCGCTCCCCGCTGCGCCGTCTCCCACAGGACGAGGGGGGCGAGCGGTTCGTGGAGAACGTGGGCAACGAGGCCTCCGCCTTCTCCTCCGCCCCCCCCTTCACCTCCTCCAACTCCTGGCCCAACTTCTCCTTCTCCATTTTGACGTGACTCGGACTTCATGCTAGAGGAGCACGCAGCGTTCTTCTTCCTCCTCCTCCTCCTCCTCCTCCCTCTCGTCCTCCTCGTCGCTCTGCCTCCGCTAACTCGTCCTCCTCCACTCCCCTTCTTACCCCCCCCCCTCCTCCTCCTCCTCCTCCTCCTCCTCCTCCTCCTCCTCCTCCTCCTCCTCCTCCTCCTCCACCCTGGAGGCCTGGAGGCAAGCAGGGTGTTTCTTGGCATGGCCCACCACAGTATGGGAGCCTTGTGCGTGTCCGCGAAGTCACGTCTTCAGAGTGCGCTCGCGCCGGTTCGCGTAGATCCAGCGTCGAGGAGGCCCGAACCGACGTCGATGAGTGCTTCTGCTCCCTCGGCGTCCATCGCCGCCGGTGAGCGTCCGCGAGCGTCCGTCTGGGCGTTTCCTCCGACTCGATTCGATCCGATTTCGCTGGATTCCGACTCCGATTCGATTCGGCTTCGGCATTCCGATTCGGGCTCCGATCTCATATTGGAGGCATACGAGCCTGCCGATTCCCGCCGATCCGACTTTTCCCGACTCGGCTGCCGATTTCTTCCGATCCGATCTGTTTCGATTGCCGATCCGACTTGTCGATTCGATTCTGGTTGATCCTGGTCCGTGGACGCGGGAGGCTCCCACGAGCTGCCACGGAGGCAGGACGAGGCGCGGGGGCGGCGGCGGGGACGGGGGGCAGGAGCGGCGTGGGAGGCGGGGGGAGCGGGCCCGCGCAGCCCCGCCGCCGCGCGCCAGGCCGCCAAGTACCTCGCGTACATCACGGAGCTCGCCAGCTCGAGACACGTCCCTGTACCCAATTGTGTTTAGCATCCCCTCATCCTCAGCTCGTCCTCCTCCTCCTTCTCCTCCTCCTCCTCCTCCTCCTCTTCTCTCCTCCCCCCTCCTCCTCCTTCATCCTCAGCTCGTCCTCCTCCTCCTCGGACTCCTTTTCTTTCTCCTCCCCCCTCCTCCTCTTCCTCCTCCTCCTACTCCTCTTCCTCCCTCATTTGATCGAGGCGTGGGCTAGAGCCGTCGGAGGCTTTTCCCGACGGTGCGTTTTTGGACTGTCATATCCGAGACCGCACTGTCCGCCCCAGGCTCGCGCTTGCCCAAGCGCGAGTCGACATCACTATACCCTCGGCGCGGGCGCGATCACGATCTCCAGCTTGGCACCGCAGGCGCCGCCGCGCCCGTGCTGCTGCCAGGCGTTTCTTGAAGGTTGAGAAGTTGAGGACTCTATTGAATCAGCATCACGGGTCTCTAGAGCCTTTCATGAGCGGTGCAGGTGACGGCGGATGCACGCGCTTTGGGCCCCGACCCCACAATGTCCAGAAGGATCCGAGATGGGCCTGCGTGGCGTCACGCCAGTGCGGATTCCAGGGCAACTACGCGAGCAACGACAAATGTCACAGTTGCGGCCGCGACCGTCGTGGTGTTCCTGATCCAAGTTTTGCGCCACCACGACAGCGGCCATCCTCTAAGCGTGCTGCCTCCAGGCCTCGGGCCAATGGAGGTGGTGCCAAAGACACGAAGAACAACGACGGCAACAGCGGCCCTCCGAGCCCAGGTGATGGCGTCGCCCAGGCACGGAAGGCATACGGGGCACTGCGAAAGCTTGGCCTCGCTGACGATGCACCCGTTGTCTTGCAAACTAAACGAGATTTGCAAGCGGCCGAGGGACGTGAGCAACAGCATCACACCCCTGATGATATGTTGCGGCGGTCCCTCGGCAGACACGCAGCTAAATCCAGAGAGGTGGACGATCTCAAGCAAGCAGTGTCGGACCTTGAGGCTAAGTTACTTGAGAAGAAGACGGCCTACGACCAAGCCGCCACTGAGCTGCAGCATATCCAGTCGGAGGTCAACATGGCCAGGACCGCAGTTCTTGCATCTATCGCACAGGCGGCCACAGCTTCCCCCAATCTTGCTGAGGCTGTGCAGCGGCTTCAGGTGGTCGTGGACGGTGCACCTCAGGCCATATTGGCAGGGAGCCCGCAGGTATTGCTGCAGACTCTCACCGACCAGTTGGCCCAGCTACAGGCAGTGGTTCAGCAAGGACAGGCAGCACAGCAAGCGCCTGCCCAGGTTGGCGGCGCCGCACAAGCAGTACCACTTGACGCACCTGCAGCGCAGCCAGCACAGCCCCTACAAGTTCCAAGCGGTGTCTCAACAGGCGCCCCCGCACCAGCCACGCCATTCACGCATCCATGGACAGCCCTTCTCCATCAGCAGGAGGCCGAGGACGATGCGGACATGGCAACAGGTGGCACCTAGAAGTAGCATGCTCATCATCATGCCGCGGCTGTTCAACAATAAGACTGCTTCATTGGATGATCTTCCATTGTCCGAATTTCCCGCTGCTAGAGTTCGAAATCCTGGGCTGGACCCAGGTTCGATCGTCGCTTGGCAGGTGTCAGGGGCTTCGGGCAGCAGTGCAGGCGCTTGCGACAGCAGACCTGTAAATGCCCCAGGCACTTCGTCAGGTCTGGTGGGCGCGCGTGGCTTGGAAGTGTCTGATACGGTGAGCGGCGAGAGGCTATCACCTGCGGCCAATGCTCGACGGCTTCACTATTTACCTTCCAGGAGGGCAGCTCGCCGTGGCAAGCGTAAGCCCCTCACATTCGTTACCTACAATGCCAATGGGTGGACTCGACTGCGTGACTTTTTGGACGAGGGTGCTGCAGGTGCTCTCATTGTTGCGTCGCAGGAGGTCAGAGTTCGCGGTGATCAACGCAAGCAAGCTGAAGAATGGTGCGTGCGAAACGGGCGGAAAGCCCTCATCACCGACTGTCAGACTGGCCCTACGGGTCAGCCGTTGGCGGGAGTTGGGTTTTTCGTCAGGCACTTCGCCGGCGCTACCTACTTGGACGCCCCCCTTGTGTTCGAGGTCATGTAATCGTTAAGTCGTGGTGCGTGGCCGTATGCATTCACTCGGGTCCTCATGGCGGATTCATTGCTGGCAGCATTTATCTTGAAAAAGGCATGGGCCTCAAGGGGGGCGACGTCCCGCGCCTGGAAAAGTTGGGCCGTATGCTTCGGTTTTACCGCGCTCCGTACGTCATCGCTGGAGACTGGGACGTGAGTCCGCAAGTGTTCAGTGACAGTGCTGTCGTGGAGCGAGTGGACGGGCATCTTGTCGTCAGCTCGCAGGGCTCTCACCGAGTCGCACCCGCGGGCAAGTGCACTTTCTTGGGTTACTGGCTTGCCAGTGATGGGATGGCTGCTTCAATGACTGACGCTCGTCGAGTGGAAGATTGCCCGCCACGCCCTCATTTTCCGATGCGAGTTGAACTCGGCCCTCGTCCTCGTGCTCGCCAGCTGGTCCAACTGCAAGGGCTGCGTGTTCTACCAGGCAAGCCAGCTCGGAAGCCGTGTTTGACTGATGTCGTAGACGAGGGGTCTGCTGATGATGCTATACCGTCTGGTGATCCAGGTGTCGATTGGGTGGGTCAGATGCGAAATGATGCTCAACTTGGCCGAGGATCTGACCAGGGCCGTGGTGAGCGACCTGGATTTTCTCTGTCAGCAAGTGCACGCTGGAGTTGAGAAGGATGTGGCCCCGCTCTTCGGCTGCAGCGACTAAGCCAAGTTTCAGGGGCGAGGTGACGCTGTACTTTGCAGGAAGACAGCGGCAGGCGGCGCCATCGCTCATACGCAACCTGCTAGCACTACTCGTTCACGTGCGCTACGGGCACTGCAACATCGATTGGAGGACTTGGCGCGCGTAGTGGACAGGCAAGGAGCTGTACCTCTGCCTCAGCATGCGACTATATGGCAGACGCTTTTGGACATGGTCGGAGGCCATGGTCGGCTTCGTCGGCTCACGGCTTCACTCGGCACCAGGTTGATGGGCGACGTCGTCTACTATGTCGCGTGCTTTCCGCGCAGCCGTCGCAGTATCATGTGGTATTTTTGCGTGCGCTGGCTGCCTCACTTGCGCAGCGTGCTGCCGCTGAAGGGCGACGGCTTGGTCGGGCGCGAGGTCAGGGGTTTGTCAAGTGGCTTCGGGGCTGCATCAGTAGCCTTCCGAAGCCCGTGCGCTGCTGGACGAATCCCCGAGGGTGGCAGCCCTCGCAGGTCCACGCGGGCCTAGGTCCTTCGAGTCACGCCGACGACGTGGCCAACGTCCAGAGAGATTTTTGGGAAGGCATTTGGGAAGGAGGCCCTTCGCCAGCGCCCCTTGGAGACCTACAGCAGGAGCTGGGCAAGTCCCGAGACTTGGGTCCTCGATTGCCCCCCATGGGCATTTCAGAGCTCCGTAAGGCCGCCGAGCCCTTTCCTGCCAGGACCGCAGTAGGTGCCGACAGCTGGAGGCCTAAGCATTGGGCCCTGGTTTCAGATGGAGCTTTATCTCTTCTGGGATATATGTTGTATCTCTGTGAAGTTTGGTCTTCTTGGCCTGGGTATCTTCGGCGTGTTCATGTGGTTCTGCTTCAGAAGCCTGCTGGGAGATATCGACCAATCGCTCTCTTGGTTTCGTTATACCGGGTATGGGCCAAGACCCGAATTGTCCATGTGCGAACCTGGGCGAATCGACTAGGCCGGCCTTTTTTAGCACTTGGAACTGGCAAGGTGACAACATATGTTGCCTCGCGCGTATTGCTTCACGGCGAAGCACATCCATTGCATAATAATGTGAAACGCGATGATGCTATCTGCCTGCGCGCCATTGTTGACACTGGGAAATGTTTCGACAGAGTCCTGTGGGCTGTCATCTTGCACGCCGCCATTAAGCGCTGGCTCCCTGGGGCTCTTGTGATGCTTGCGCTGCGCATGTACTCGTGCGAGCGTCGCTTGGCCTGGAGTGGAGCTTTCTCTGAACCATTTTATGCCTTTCGGGGATTGTTTTCCAGGGTGTAGCATGGCTATGTTCATTCTACAGTTAGTATTACTTACTCCTGTTGATTCACTGTATGGTCCTTCGATGCACATAGACCGCGCGCTGCACGTGTACGCTGACGGCTTGACCATGCAGGTGAAAGCTAAGATGGCTGAGATATACGAGCACGCGTGTTACGGCCTGAAGGGCGTGGTGGATCTCCTCGGCTCGGTCGACCCCGCCCCCGCCGAGCGTAACATGACGGTGACTTGAGCGTATCCATCGGTGGCCGAGCGTACTTGTAGGACTCTTGGGCGTTATGGGCATCGGCCTGCATCGGCTTTGGAAGTCTTGGGCATAGAGGTCACGTCTGGGAAGGCTCTACGGTTTCTGAGGCTGACAGCAAGGGTTCGCAAGATGACTGGACGTTTTCACCGGCTTAGGCGTTTGAGAGAGGCTGGGGCGCTCACGGGTAAGTTTGCATACGCTGCCGTTCCTGCTGCGCTTGGTTACGGAGTGGGTGTGCACGGAGCGCCTCCCGCGGACATAGAGTCTATGCGTGAGGCTATGCGTAGCGTGTGGTACGAGCCTGGACGTGCTGGCTCAGCGTGGATCTTCTCCTTTCTCCATGGGGGTGGGCCTCAAGACCCACAGATTGCAGCTTGGGCCGATCCTATTTACCAGTGTGCCTCTTATGCTGGGACCAGTCACAACGCGATCTCCCGCAGCACGCTTGGCAGAGGCAAGTTATCACTATCTATGCTTCTAAACAGCCATGGGAACAAGTTGCGGGGCCTGCAGGGGCAACATTATTGGCTTTTCGCTCTTTGCATTGGGCCTCGTCTTCGGCTTTCGCGGTCAAGACCGATCGGGGCGACGCGTTAGGCCTTCGAGAAGCATCGCCGCTCGCTGTTCGGGATCGTGCTCGAGAATCCGCTGTTCGTCGTTTGTGGTCCGACTGGGCGG